CGCTTGAATGAGCCTATGCTTTGTTCGTGTTCAACTCTTTAAGAAATACTACTGTTTCATATTCAGCTCATTTACATATCGAGCTCCAAAAATCCATTCACGTTCAGCTCGTTTCTTTAACAAGCCAAACACTAGTTATTTGCGAATAACGAGTCTTTTTGATAACCTTAGCCACACAGTCTTAGGATAGCAAAGGTAAGGGCAAAATTTAAATATTTTTATTGAAATTTAAAAATTCATTTAAATATAATTTAATATATATTTATTTTATTTTTAATTAATAATTCTAATTGATTATAAACCTTTGTAGCCTTGTAGCCAATTAAATTACTTAAAAATAATACTCATTAATTATTTTTGAGTCAAAACGAGCCGAACACGAATGAACAAAACTTTATTTGTGTTCGACTCATTTATATATCGATCGCAAAACATTTATTCGTGTCCGGCTCATTTGCCTAGCAAACGAATTCAACACGAGCTATTTAACAAGTCATGCACAAGCTATTCGCGAACAACGAGCTCTTTTGGCAGCCCTATCTGTACGAGCCTTCTCATCCCAGCAACAAGCCAACATTATGCACAATAAAACATTGCAGATCTCACCATTTTCTTACAAAATTCTCCTTACAAGTATAAGCAATACTTTTCTAAAGCAATAAACAGAAATCAATTTCTCATAAGAAAAAAAAAACAGATTAATTCAAAAAAAAAGATTAATTTATAACAATATAAACAATAGGTTTGGCTTCATTTCAGAGCTCTAAAAATTGAAAACTTTAATTAAACTGTAATTATAACAAAAAAACCCCCTTTTAATATATATTTTTTTTAAATTAGGCAATAAGAGCATATCATTCTTCTTCTCTGATGATCCTCCTCTTCCTGAAGGGTACCAGGGGCATACTTCCAGGCGCGCTATGTGCCCTTCTCCTCTGATCTTTCCTCCTCTCAGCTTCAATCATGGTCCTCCTCAGAGCAGCTGCCTTGTATATTGGCTTCGGCAAATGCCTATGCCTGCAGCATACACATATTTATATATAATATGTCAGCATGCATGTTATAAAACTTGGAATATTTACATACACGCCACTAAATTCCTATTTATTTCCATATCCAACACCTAAACTTTTATATATATATCTCAGATTACCCATGCATGAAATATTTTGCTTTTCAAAGCTGAAAAATGTGATATGTTTGCTATGATATGAAAAGATTTGGGGACATAAATGTAAAAAGTAAAATTTAAGGTGCATTTACATACTCACATCTAAACTTTCAGTACGTGCAAAGCACACAATTCTCATGTATTTAGATATTTCACGCCTAAACTTTCATATTTACACATATTGCGGTCAAATCGTTAATATGAAAACAAAGATGGCACTATTACCACTTTTCATGCATAAGTTTAAAGCGCCAAAGTGGTATATAAGTAAATACATAAGACTTGCGTGTTAGTGATGTAAATACATGGGAATTGGATGTCATCTATGTAAATGCACCTGTATAATTTAGACATGACTTTAAACCAAACTTCATGTTTGCAAATAGCTCGAGTTCAGTTCTAGAACTGAATCAAACACAAACAGAAAATTTTGGCTTATTTATGTAAAGAGCCGAGGGTATAACAATAATTTTTACTTTTTTACATATTTTTACCTTAGTTTTAATTTTTTGCAAATTCTAACCATACCATCATCGTGGATCGACGGTAAGAGTTGAGCTCGTGCAAGCTCAGCTTTTTAATAGATTCTAGTTCATGAGTACTACAGCATTCCACAGAGTGTTCAGATTAACAGGCCAGACCTTTTTTGTATGTGGTAAAAATAAGATTTTACTTTAGACCTTTAGGAATATTTACATGCATAGCACTCAATTATTATGTATTTACATATCTAACGCCTAAACTTCAATTTTTATATGGAGCTTTTACACACATAGCACTCAATTCTTATGTATTTACATATCTCAAATTTACACACAACACTCAAATGCTTAATATCACATACAAAATAGCACTATTACCGTTTTATAAATGTGAAATGCACCATTTCATACATAGGTTTAAAGCATCAAAAGCACCATGTATGTAAATATGAAAGTTTAGGTGTGAGGTATGAAAATGCATAAGAATTGGGTGCTGCGTATGCAAATTTCCCCTCTTTATATATACATGACATCTTGGGCATGTATTTCATTTTTTAAAAAGTTAAAAAAGTGATATTTTTTATGTGATGTGGAAGATTTGGGTGTTATAAATGTAATAAGTTATGGTGTTAGATATGTAAATACATAAGAATTGAATGGTATGAAAGTAAAATGCCCCTATTTGAAAATTTCCAACGGGCAAATAGCTTACCTTACGATGCGCTTCACCTCAGGAAGATGCTTGTACCTATCTTTAACAGCATCAAGATATTCTTGCTTCCTGCGTTCCCTTGGAAGAAGCTAAAATGAGAAAAAGAAAAAAAAGTCAGCAATAGAACAGACTGAGTGATCACATTTCTTGAATTTCCGGAAAAGAAGTCTAGAATACTGTTAAGATTAATCCATAAATCAAGCAGAATGACGAAATCAATGATGATTTAGAGGCCATCATGACATAATTAATAAATTATAGACAAATTTACATATGCACCACACAATCCTTATGACTTTACATACATACATAACAACATACATAAATATAAATAATCTACATTTATAGCATCTCAGTGTCATAAACCTATGCGTAAAATGAAAACCTATGCGTAACATGATGTTTTTTATGTGATTTTAAAAATTGAAGTGTTATGAATGTGAATATTGTGCATGATCAACAACGGATTGAAACACTATTCCTTCATATATATCACTAAAGTTAGATATTTACATTTCTAACACTTTGATATTAAAAACCCATGCATGAAAAGTTGTATTTCAATTTTAAAAAGCTAACGATATTGATACTTTTGATCTAATGTCAAAAATTCAATCGTTATGTATGTAAATAATAATGTTTAGATGTTAGATATGTAAATATATAAGAATTGTGTGGCATGAAAAATGACTCGAGGTACTTTTAATTGATTGATGGATCATTAGAAAACCTTCAGAGAAAAATTCTAGGCCTAATTTAAATCCATTCTAGTCTCCTATCGTGAACATGCATCATAACATTAAGAGGTTGAATACAAATCAAATTGATATTAATGCACTCCATGCATAAGTCAAACAAGGGGCATTCACGCAGTTCTTATGGATTTACGTATATCACATCAAAATTTTCATATTTACACTCATAGCACTCAATTATTTCATATCACATCAAAAATAGCACTAATTACTATTTTTTAATAGTCAAATCCGCCTTTTCACGCATAGGCAAAGTGCCATGTGTGTAATACGTAAATCCATAAGAATTGCGTGCTACGTATGTAAATTTCGCAACAAACAAATAAGGAATAACAAATGACAAGTACCA